GGCCCCGCTGCCCGCCAGGCCGGCTGCCAGAGTCCCTCCTTGTCATTTTAGCCAAGAGCAGAGCTGAGTTCTTGGGGCTGGGAGAACAGAGGGAGGAGTGGCCGTGGGCGGCCCTGGCTGCATGCACTGTCTCAGGGCTGGCCCAGAGGGGGAGAGGGGACCCCCGCCCCACCACTGCCCAAGCCATACAGGAAATGAGAGCCCTGGGTCTCCCTGCCCCTCCAATGACCGGCGCACCTTTCTTAAACGTTTCCCTGCAGAGCTGGCCTCCCCAACGTCTCTGCTGCCCTCTGCAGGGCTGCAGCGGCATAGCAAGGACAGAACGTGGCGTTTGCAAAGCAGAAAATTGCAGGTTCTTCAAAGCTCAGAGGGCCTGGCCAAGCCCCTCGCTCCACTAGAGTCAATCAAATAATGAAATCGAGGAGACAGCCAGTGGACCCCCGCATCTGTGTTCTGGGGGCCTGAGCGCAGGGAAGGCAGCAGTCACCCAGGAGGGAGCTTGAGGGGCCGGCACCGCTTCTGGGTCTCTACACCAGGCTGCCTGGCCCCCAGCTCCGTCTGCTTATCTGCGTTTGTTTCTTTCTTTTATTTTTAAAGATTTATTTAGCAGAGTCAGAGTGGGAAGGAGAATCAACAAAGTGCTCTTCTGAGGGGAGCAATGGGTGAGACAGGAGAGGTCTGCGGCGCCATGTGGGTCAGCTCCGAGGTTGGGGATCGAACTCTCACTGAGGGGGCTGCCAGCTTGCAGTGCTGCGTCCTAACCCGTTGTGCCGCCAGGGAGGGCCCTTATCTGCATTTCTTCAGAAGAACCCTCTTCCCAAAGCCTCCCTGCTCGTCCCCCTGGCGGTGGGCCCGGGAGGCAGCTTGTCAGTACACATTTACGGTATGTTTGTTTCATGCCTCTTGCAGCCACATGCTATGAGTCCATCACAGGTCCTGCAAAACGGCTCCCGATGACACCTGGCAACACCCTCTTTTCAGGGCCCTCCCTACCTCTCTGGAGGAGGCAGCCCCTCGGTGGGCCCAACAGGGGCTTCCGTTTCTCCACGCCTCCTTTTGTGTATTACTTGCAGGGGAATACGGTCCCCTGCGCCCCTGGCCTGCGCTGGCCCACGGCCTCCCACGGGGCAGGAGAGAGGACAAGTGGGGTGCCGACCCTGAATGGGGGGCTGGCTGGGCTCCAGGCTCTGCTCTGCCTTCCGCCCCGGCTCTGCCCTAGCCCTGCCAGCCTCCCTGCTGGTCCCCACCCTGGTTCTTGCTTCAGATCCACAAAGTCCAGACAGGCACCGAGCTCATTCTTCCTGCTGCCCGTTCCATGCTGGAGTTGCAACCTGTGGCAGGCACTGCCAGTGCCTCGTCCCATTCCAGGGCCTTCGGCTCTGCAGCCCTGGTGCCCCGGGGCTCTCTGGGATCTGTTCCAGCCTCCTCTGCAGAGCCAGCCAGGGGGCCAGGCTGCAGCCCCACCCAGTCACACCCGCTGTTTCCCCAAACGGGGAGTAACTAACACACCTCAGCTGCCTTCCGCCTCCCCTGGGCTACCGCCCATTACCCCAGGCCCCTCAGGAGCCTTTGCCAAGTAACTCCTTGTTCTCAAAACCTGTGCAGACCTGGCTTCTAGGGCCACATGCAGGAAAGCACATGTACTTTCTTCTGGACTCCTCATCTGTCTTTCTCACAAGGCTGGAAGGCTGGACCGAACCGCACCCCTAGGTGAGTACTGCATGCTCACTAAAGGCCCAGTTGTTCATTTTTCCTTGGCCCATTCATTTGGAAGGGCATGTTCACCCCTCCAAGTGCTGGGATGGAGCAAATGTGGAGACAGGCCGTAAGCAGTATAATCCCCTTGCGGCTGGGGGTGGACGTGACCTCAAACTGGGGTCAGGGTTGCCCGAGGCTGTGTGCAGGGGATGATCCTAGTCTGAGCTGGTCATGCTCGGACTGCCAGAGAGCCAGAGACAGGCTCCCTGTCCTGGGGGGATGGGCCACACAGAGGCCCCGC